GCTGGGACCCACCCTCCAGACTGGCTGGCTTGCCCATGGCTCCCTTCCCGTGCCCTGTCATTCTTGGTGTCACAGAGGCCTTATCCTTTTCAAAGTGCCCCATAATCCAAAGCTCCAAAGGAATGAAAAGAGGATTTGATGACGAGGAACCCAGTTCCCAAATCCAGGCTTACAAATCCTGCCAAAAGCTCAGCCTCGGGTTTCCAGCCCCTCCCAGCCTCACCCCGAACAAAGCTCCAAAGGAATGAAAAGAGGATTTGATGACGAGGAACCCAGTTCCCAAATCCAGGCTTACAAATCCTGCCAAAAGCTCAGCCTCGGGTTTCCAGCCTCACCCCGAATTCCATCATTATGGACTTCCTGGGGCCCCTGTCTTCCCAGAGCCCACACACCTGTTACCCCACATGTTCGGATGTCCTGGTAGTAAGGGGCCCAGAACCTCTTCCAGGCTAGGAGACTGGGAGCCTCGCTGGACCTCATCTGTGAAATGGGCATAATTATAGGTCTCCGCCTCACCAGGCTGTTGACAGTCCGTGGAGAGGGCCTGGCGTTTTAGAGACTGGGGGCCTCTGTGAGCTGTCCAGCCTCACCCCGAATTCCATCATTATGGACTTCCTGGGGCCCCTGTCTTCCCAGAGCCCACACACCTGTTACCCCACATGTTCGGATGTCCTGGTGGTAAGGGGCCCAGAACCTCTTCCAGGCTAGGAGACTCATCTGTGAAATGGGCATAATTATAGGTCTCCGCCTCACCAGGCTGTTGACAGTCCGTGGAGAGGGCCTGGCGTTTTAGAGACTGGGGGCCTCTGTGAGCTGGTGTGTGCTAGGTGTTGCCTTTAGGGTCAGAAGACCGAGGCCTAAGTGGGGAAAGGAGCTTCCCTAAGGCCCACACTGGGGTCAAAGACTCATCTGTGAAATGGGCATAATTATAGGTCTCCGCCTCACCAGGCTGTTGACAGTCTGTGGAGAGGGGCTGGCGTTTACGAGAGACTGGGGGCCTCTGTGAGCTGGTGTGTGTGCTAGGTGTTGCCTTTAGGGTCAGAAGACCGAGGCCTAAGTGGGGGACGGGGCTTACCTAAGGCCCACACTAGGGTTGAAGCCAAGGAGCCCAGGACTTCCACTGCTGATTCATCCTCTGACCTTCCCCCTCCCAAACCCCGTGGGCCTCCCTGCTCAAGCCAGGAGGGAGCCCCACTGCCTGACAGTCCAAGACAGGACACATCTGTGCCAGGCGTGGAGAGCCAGTGTTCTGAGAGACGGGGCTGGAAGACTTCCTGGAGGAGGAGGCGCTTGAGCTGGGTCTTGAAGGACACGTGGATTTGGAGAGGTGGAGGGACAGGACCAAAGGAGATGAACAAAGTCAGAAACAGAGGGAGGGGGGGAAAGAGGGAGGCAGAGAGAATCCTGGGAAGCAAGGTCAGAGAGTTTCTCGGGGCCTGATTATAGAGGTCTAGCCCCAAACCCCCAATACCCCAAGCCTGTAGGTGGTTCTAGAACACTGAGAAGGTTGGACGTGTGTAGTCCATGAGTCCTGCCTCCATGGGGCAGCCCCTCTCCTGTGCTTGCCTGTAAACGCCCAGGCAGCTTCACACGGTGGATGGGATTCTCCCCATTTTGTAAGAAACTTGGGAAACTCGCCCCAGTTCCTGTGGCCAAGAAGGGGTAGGGCCTAATGTTGAACCCAGCCCCTCGGCCTCCTGCGCCACCACCCTGCTGGTCAGGGAGGCCCTGAAGGTGCTGGTTCCAGGAGATGATGCCATTTTAGAAACCCAAAGGCCCTTACAATCAAGAGCGTGGGCTTTGGAGTCTGACCAGTAGGAATGTGGATCCCAGTCCCACTGCCTGTGTGCTGGGTGACTTGGAATAAGTGACAATCTCTCTGAGCCTCCGTTTTATCACCTGTGAAATGGGGATCATAACAGTACCTGCCTGGCTGAGCTGTAGGGATTCAGCCAGACACAGTGTAAAGCAGCCTGGCACTTCGACTGCGGGGAGTCTGTGGCAGCTGATGGGCTCATGCTGTGTCTACCTGAGAGACAGGATCCGGGGACAAAAGGTTAGCCTGATCCCATTCAGAAAAGACCGGGTGTTCGTCAAGATGCCAGAGTGGTAGCCTTGGCGATGCCCTGCAGGCCCACTGTGCCTCAGTTTCTTCATCTATAAAAGGAGATCAATAGTGTTCTTTGATGGGTTCCAGAGAGCATTAAGTCTCTCTAGCAGAATATTCTCCCCAAACTCCCAGCAGGGGGAGCCTCGATCCAGGGAACAGCAGCCAGTCCCGGAGGCGAAGTCCCCAGATAGGAGAGGTGGAGGGGAGAGCGGATGAGCCCTAAACCTGGTTCTCCAGGACTCACAGAGGAAGGAGAGGCCCCCGTTATCACCTGTGAAATGGGGATCATAACAGTACCTGCCTGGCTGAGCGTAGGGATTCAGCCAGACACAGTGGAAAGCAGCCCAGCACTTAGACTGCGGGGAGTCTGTGGCAGCTGATGGGCTCACGCCGTGTCTACGATGAGCGTTTATACCTGAGAGACGGGATCCGGGGGCAAAGGGTTAGCCTGATCCCATTCAGAAAAGACCAGGTGTTCGTCAGGTGAAATGGGGATCATAACAGTACCTGCCTGGCTGAGCTGTAGGGATTCAGCCAGACACAGTGTAAAGCAGCCTGGCACTTCGACTGCGGGGAGTCTGTGGCAGCTGATGGGCTCATGCTGTGTCTACCTGAGAGACAGGATCCGGGGACAAAAGGTTAGCCTGATCCCATTCAGAAAAGACCGGGTGTTCGTCAAGATAGAGTGGTAGAATACCCCAAGCCTGTAGGTGGTTCTAGAACACTGAGAAGGTTGGACGTGTGTAGTCCATGAGTCCTGCCTCCATGGGGCAGCCCCTCTCCTGTGCTTGCCTGTAAACGCCCAGGCAGCTTCACACGGTGGATGGGATTCTCCCCATTTTGTAAGAAACTTGGGAAACTCGCCCCAGTTCCTGTGGCCAAGAAGGGGTAGGGCCTAATGTTGAACCCAGCCCCTCGGCCTCCTGCGCCACCACCCTGCTGGTCAGGGAGGCCCTGAAGGTGCTGGTTCCAGGAGATGATGCCATTTTAGAAACCCAAAGGCCCTTACAATCAAGAGCGTGGGCTTTGGAGTCTGACCAGTAGGAATGTGGATCCCAGTCCCACTGCCTGTGTGCTGGGTGACTTGGAATAAGTGACAATCTCTCTGAGCCTCCGTTTTATCACCTGTGAAATGGGGATCATAACAGTACCTGCCTGGCTGAGCTGTAGGGATTCAGCCAGACACAGTGTAAAGCAGCCTGGCACTTCGACTGCGGGGAGTCTGTGGCAGCTGATGGGCTCATGCTGTGTCTACCTGAGAGACAGGATCCGGGGACAAAAGGTTAGCCTGATCCCATTCAGAAAAGACCGGGTGTTCGTCAAGATGCCAGAGTGGTAGCCTTGGCGATGCCCTGCAGGCCCACTGTGCCTCAGTTTCTTCATCTATAAAAGGAGATCAATAGTGTTCTTTGATGGGTTCCAGAGAGCATTAAGTCTCTCTAGCAGAATATTCTCCCCAAACTCCCAGCAGGGGGAGCCTCAATCCAGGGAACAGCAGCCAGTCCCCGAGGCGAAGTCCCCAGATCCAGATAGGAGAGGTGGAGGGGAGAGCGGATGAGCCCTAAACCTGGTTCTCCAGGACTCACAGAGGAAGGAGAGGCCCCCGAGCACAGCCTCTGAGTTCACAGAGGAGCTGGCTCAGAACCGTGAGAAGGTGGTTGAAGGACCTGGGAGAGTGTCATTTGGAAACGGTCTTCGGATGCAGGAAGAGGGTTCTAGCTTGAGGTGTGTGGTTCCCAGGCTCCCTCTACAACCTCAGCCGATAATGATTTCTGCTAGATGTGCAGAACATTCTCGAGGGGCTTAGAGCTGTGAGCAGAACAATCCAGAAGGAATGAGCCCTCCATCCAGGGAAGCATTCAAGCTGAGTCTGGACACCCTCTTGTCCAGCTTGCTGGTGTGAATTAGACCAGATGACCTTGACATTGCCTTTCGATCCTGAGAGCCTTGTCTTGACGCAAAGCTCTATTTTAGTTATTATTACATATTTATTTCAAATGTCTTGAATTCTCTTTCATAAAAATTTCAACATATCAGGGAAGGTCTTGAGTCAGGATCTCTCACAAGAACTGGAAGTGCAGCTGGGAAGAGTGTAGGGATTTGGGAGGAGGCTTGCAATGGCTTTTTCTCTTTTATTTTTTAAAAATATGTTTTAATTGATATTTTTAGATAGCGAGAGAGAGAGAGAGATAAAAACATTGATGAGAGAGACACACTGATCAGTTGCCTCCTGCACGCCCCCCAATCAGGATCAAGCCTGCCCTGACCAGGAACCGAACCCGGGACCTCTTGGCTCACCAGCCAGGCTCAATGACTTTTAAAAAAATCAAATCTTCGAATGACTTTTAAAAATGGCCCCTGATATCAACTTATTTTCATTGTTGTCTTACAAATCAAAACAAAGCAGAGGCGGGGGTCCTGGCAGCTGGGCGTTGTCTGTAGTTGAGCCCACACAATCTAGGGAGTCTGAGCAGGATCGGCTGCTCCGAGCCAGGGTCTCGGGGCTGGAGGGTGAGGGCGACTGCCACACACTGCAGGGTTTGGAGGGTCCGAGCCAGCTGCGGTGAACCTGTGGGCTTCCTACCTGGGAAAGCAGGGTTCAGAAGGGGGAAAGTTGTGGGGACTGGGCTCTTGTTCTAAAACATCCCTTCCCCACCCTACTCCCGGCCCCACTTGGAGCGTCTGGCACCTTCTAGCTCTGACATGCTGCCCCTTAGAGAACACCTGGCAGGGTGCGTTGGGGGCAGTGGCCCGGCCTGAGGCTCTCTGGGGGAGCAGGTATGTCCGGCTGGAGGTGAGCATAGGTCCATGGGAAGGAGGGGACACCTCTCGGGGGAGAAGCATCAGTCCTGGTGTCCCCACTCCTCACGCGGCCCCTCCCCTCCCTCAGGTGGTGGCCATCGACCTGGACGAGGGCCTGAACGGGCTGGTGTCCTACCGCATGCAGGTGGGCATGCCCCGCATGGACTTCCTCATCAACAGCAGCAGCGGCGTGGTGGTCACCACCACCGAGCTGGACCGAGAGCGCATCGCCCAGTACCAGCTGCGGGTGGTGGCCACCGACGCGGGCACGCCCACCAAGAGCTCCACCAGCACGCTCACCATCCGAGGTGAGAGCGCAGCTGCTCCTGCTGGGTGCTGAGCACATGGGCGGCGTGGGGAGCCTGCGTGTCCCCCTGCTGTCCACTGTCCAGGTGGGCACAGGCCACCCTGCCAATAGGGCCGCACCTGGAGCCATTCAGCACAGCAGAGCCTTCCCTTCTCCACCAAGTGGAAAAGCCAGCGAGCCACCCTCTCCCCACCTGGCCACGGCTCAGTGTCCCGGAGCCCAGGAGAGTGGGCGGCCTGGACCCACTGCCAAGGCCCCCTTCTTTGGTCCCGGCCACAGCAGAGAGGGCTTGGATGGGGCGGGGCCCTCGGGGTCAGGAACAGCCTGGGGAGGTGGCAGGGCCCTCTCTCCTTTGAGGGCCGAGTTTTTATTTGGAGATGCAAAGGGACCCTTCCCCTCCCGCGTGCCTGGAACCTCCATGGACAGGGGTCACCCTGGGAGGAGGGCAGCTGGGATTCCCAGCCCTGAGACTCCCCCTCCCCTCGGCCCTCTCCATCATGCCCGCAGTCTCCGCCCTCTACCGGGGTGGGGCCGAGGAGGGCCACTATTCTCACCCACTCCGGCAGCATCTTTAATTTTCACAACAGAACTGGTACATTGGCATGAGCTGTTGCCAGAGGGCCAGGAATAGCCCTGAAATAAGTGTCGAGTGTAATGGGCAAGAGGTGGCCTGCTCCCTGGGACACCATGAGCAGCAGCCCCGGGGGACAGGGACTGCCGGAGGGTGTGGGGTTCTGGTCAGCTCTGTCCTGGCCCAGCCAGCGCGGGGCCCTCGGCTCACGACTCACAACTGGGAGGTACTGACTCCTAGGAAACCCATTTCCCATCGGCCTGTGGTGTGAGCCATGCCTTGGAGATGGGTGGGCTGGCACAGCAGCCAGGTCCAGCCCCCTGTGCCGACTCTGCCCACAGTGCTGGACGTGAACGATGAGACGCCCACCTTCTTCCCGGCCGTGTACAACGTCTCCGTGTCCGAGGACGTGCCGCGGGATTTCCGCGTGGTCTGGCTGAACTGCACCGACAACGACGTGGGCCTCAACGCTGAGCTCAGCTACTTCATCACAGGTGCGGCCCTGCCACCGCCTCCCAGGTGTTCTGCCTGCTGGGCTGGGGCCAGGGGAGGGGGAAGAGACCCCAGCTGGCCATCGGGTAAGCCCCTGCTAGAGCCTCCCTGAGGATTTGCTCTTGGCTTTGCCCAAGGGCTTTGGAGCTGGGTCCCCAGGGGCCTCCTGAATCTCATAGGGGTGAGAGGACTTACCAAGGTTCAGTCTAGAGCAGGGGTGGGCAAACTTTTTGACTCAAGGGCCACAATGGGTTCTTAAACTGGACCAGAGGGCCGGAACAAAAGCATGGATGGAGTGTTTGTGTGAACTAATATAAATTCAAAGTAAACATCATTACAAAAAAGGGTACGGTTTTTTTTTTTTTTAGTTTTATTCATTTCAAACGGACCGGATCCAGCCCGCAGGCCGTAGTTTGCCCACGGCTGGGTTAGACCATAGGCCCATGCACCAAAGGGTCACGGGTTCAAATGTTA